TATAAAGGTTCTCTTAAACTGAAAGAACAAAAATGCTAGTGTTTGTAAGTGTCAGTAAAATAATTTGGGTTGAAAAACTTGTCACACACTACTTGAAAGCATGTCATCCATACCTAAACTTAGCACAAAAGTTTGAAATACTAATGTTTTTGACAGAATTGCATTTCTTAAAGTAGTTCACAAAAAGAAATGTTAGTGTTCATTAGGATAAACTGGAACCATAAATCTCATAATTAATTGGGAGTGATTATCTAATATGTGTGGGCACTCAGAACTTGTAATAAAAAAGTTTGGATGATTTCATCTTCCAGATTTTGTAATTTGCTCTAAAGGGAAGAAGAGAAGCATTAAGACGTATTCAATATCATTACATTTATGTTTTATAACACTCCCCTTTATCTTGTCAAATTTAAATCTATAATTATAGTTGTTTGTTCTCGCTCCAAGATAAATGTCTCCATGCATAGTTGTTCACTCTCCAAGATAAATTTCTCGATGCATAGGAAGTTTCACATTTGTTTTCATAGTAACAGAATTACCCACTAGGACAGTTAATACCAATATATGTAGCGTTATTTGACATGGATCATAGATAAATTTACGCGCGAATAGGAAGTGAACATGTGAAGTGATCCCTTTATGAATATTGTAATTTATTTTCCGATACATACTCGTCGACTATCAGCATATTGAATAGTGAGTTATGTACATATATATGGAGATCTTAACCATAGGTAGATAAATAGAAATAGGTGTAACCTAGAGATCGTATAAAGCTGGTTGTGACAGGAACAGTGTATGTCCCAACAGCTAAATACGTGACGGTAGAGCAAATCGTGGACGCATAAAACTGAACGACACCATCAACAGTTGCTCATCAGATCTCCATTATACTTGGAGGCAGCCAAAACATTCACCTCACCCAAAACATGCCCGCTACTAAAACAGTATTAATATACATATACAAGAGCACATTGGGCTTTGTCCGTATAAGTTATGTGCATGTATTTACAATCTTCTAATATGTTAGACTCCTTTTTGTAGGCTGTAAGATTAACAGTTGATGTGTGAAAATCATGCTTGTCTCATGTTAACTGCATGAACCTGTGAGCTGAAACATTTCTGTGTTCACAATTACAAATGTTATAATTGGTAGAGGTAGTATATGACAATTCTTAAATATTTCTCTGTATGATTCTCTTTTCCAAGCAGCTAACATGATTCTAGAAAAAAAACGTATTTTACATGCAAAATAAAATCATTAGAATAATGGCAGGCACTAAAAGGATAGCCTCTTGTAGGGAATTGTTTAAGAAATTTAATATTCTTCCACTAGCAAGCAAATTCTTGTTCTCATGTCATTTATATTTGTATTACAAACAAGTATAGTATTTGTGCTGTGATATGTTCTACATTCTTGGTTTGGGCCTATGAAGGATCTATGGAATGTAAATAAGTTCTATTCTGTGCTGGAAACTATCTTCTGTAGAAGTAATATTTTGCTACTGGTTAAAGAGTTACCCCAGCATATTATACCATTTATCATGACAGAGTGGAAGTATGAAAAGTACACTCTTTATAGTTCTTTATTATTTAGAAATAGAATTTATGTTGTTTAAAGGTGAGTTGTGTATGCATTCTATATTATTTTCTAGTTTTGTCAAACATCATTTTGTAGAATAAGGAACTTTTTTGCTTTTACTTCTTATATATATGTTGATCATTATAGGTTATTTTAATATCACTGGTTGACTTAATATATAAGGGGAAAAGGAGTGGAACAAGTATATAGCCTTGAGGAAATCATATTGTAATCAGAAAGATCTTTTTCTGAGTATGTGGTAATTTTATCATAACTATGTTTACTGTTTGTCAGATACAGTGAGAACCAGAAAACTGGGTTCCCACAATAATGTGGCTATGTTATTGGACAGGTCCCGTCTAAAACCAAACTGTTCATTAACTAGAATGCCATTAGCATTTTTAAATGGTGCATTAATATTTTGTACATATCTTTTTCAAATATTTTAGAAAACCTAAAAGAGACTGGTCTATAATGTGCTACACATATGATCTGTTCCCTTTCTTATATATGGGTCTTACAATTGACCATGTACATCTCTCAAAAGAAATCTCCATTCCCAATTAATATTACGTATCGGACTTAAAGGTTCACTTATGAACAGTGAGCAAGTTTAATTATTTTACTGGATATCCAGTGTTATTTCATGTTACATTTTCATTTTCAGCTCATAATGAAGTGCACAATTCCAGAAATATCATGGCATAATCGAGATCCTGTCCTTAGTGTGGATGTCCAACGTGCCTGTAAGAGTGAAAATTTTGAGAGGTTGGCTACTGGTGGAACAGATTCTCACGTTGTTGTGAGTGTTACATCTTTCTTCCTGATCATTTGATGTTGCCTTTGGTTCTTTACCCAACATTTGGGGTTTGGAAATGTTTTATGTAGGTTCAGTAGTGATGATTCGTTTTACAGATTTGGCATGTTGAAATACAAGTGACAGGGGTAGTGAAAGTTGAGTTTGCAGCAGACCTGCAGAGACACCAGAAAGCTGTCAATGTTGTTAGGTTTTCTCCATCAGGTGAATTTCTTGCATCTGCAGATGATGGTAAGATATTTTGTTTTGAACATTTCATTCTTTTTCAGCTTTAATTGTTCATGCTGTTTCTTGTCACATTTTCTGCCGTATTCATAATAATGTGCAAACACTTGCCATACTCTCTTGCTACATAAATATGTTTGGCAGAACCACCAGTCAGCAGAATTGGGTATTACCATTATTGTTGGCAGAGCCATCTACTGGCAGATACTTTGTGTTATCACAATCTCATGCAACATGATTATTTTGCTATTGTATAGCGAGATATAAAGAAACAAGATGTATGACAGTGGTACATGTGTTCACCCTTTTAATAATTATTCATTCATACCATTTAAGAGACAAATCATTGAATGTTGCCAATGTTATTGTATGGTCGTGAAGTGGTTGTATTTTGCTTAAAGGGAAGGGAATTATAAGTGTTTGTGAACAAAATGCTCAAGAAAATATTTGGTCCTAAGTGGGATACAAAAAGCAGGAAAATTAGGACATAAGATAACAAGAAACTTGGTGATTTATACAAATTAGCCATTAGTTTTAAAATAATGACATTAAGATTGTTACAGTGAGTTTGGAATGCAGTTTGGATAAGGGAAACAGGAAGTGCATTCAGAAATTTGATGCAAAACTGCTTGCAAAAATATCACTTGAAAGGCTGAGATGAAGATGGGAATATGAATAGACCTTAAGGAAAAATGTGATGTTCAGATGAAGATTGGTCAAGCATCTGTTCATTGGTAGAACTTCAGGTTCTTCTGCCAGAGATTTTGTTAGTTTACATGAGGCAGGGTATACTGTATATAAACTAATTTCCATTAATTAATTATGGCTGCTTTCAGTGCTTCCATCTATACAGAAGTTAACATAAATTTATGTAACATAGTCATTGTCTTATGTGCACACTTCAAAGGTCTACGTTGTTCCTTTATGGTCATAATTTTTAGTTTTATACGAAATTTGTAAGTATGGATTTTGTGGTTAAGTACCGTGTTATTTTATTTTATTATTAGGAAATTTTAATATCGGAATTGTAATGTAGGTGCTCTTGATGTTCTTACAGAGTCCGCCATTATCATTTGGAAGCAGAAGACTGATCAGGATGCACCAGACCTTCCACTTTGGGACAGTGACATCACGACAAAGGAGCAGTGGCTGGGCATTAGAGTTCTCCGGGGACACGTGGAAGATGTCTATGATTTGTCCTGGTCACCAGATTCCTTAAACCTCATTTCAGGATCTGTTGATAATTCTGCCATTTTATGGGATGTTCATAAAGGTATTCGGATTCTTATAATTGTGACATTTGTGTTAATTCCATATTTGTCTCTACCATATTCAGAAATGCGGAGTAAAGAAGCTTAAAGATGTGAATTTTTTATGCAGAATGGATTGATTGATAAATAAGGATACTAGAGCAGATTTAAAGTATACTTTCAGTAGGAAAGAAAATATTAAATTTTATGCAGAACTATATGTCTCCCATTTATTATGAATCCGTATCCTATACAGTGTTACAGCAAGCTTTTTGCAGGAGAAACTGATTATTTGTTGCCCATTTCACTAAGAGATCAGCTTCATTTTGTAGGGCGTAATGTTGGATTGCTGAAGGAGCACAAGGGTTTCGTGCAGGGTGTAGCGTGGGATCCTCGGAATCAGTATGTGGCCACTCTAAGCGGTGACAGGTGAGCATTACTAAGGCAATGTCCTACGTAAGCGATAACAAGCGAGCTGCGAAAGCAGCATGGGGTGTCATATGAAGCACGGAATTGCTTGTTGTGTCCTACGTGAGAGACCGCAATAGAAGCACACAGCCTTCCTGCGCATGCGCCTTCCGTGTACTGCACAGTCAGAGCTTTCTTTCGCATGCGCCTTACTGACCAGCGCAGCGACTCACGCGAAAATATCAAAATATTTGATCTCGGACTTTGGCCGCTTTGCTGGAACCTAGGACAGCGCCACACAAAAGGCCAGTTTCATATTTCCGCTTCACCAACGCAACTCGCATTTAATCGCTTACGTAGGACACTGGGTAAATGTGTGGCTTTTAACTTTTATTTTACAGATATCTCACTTGATTCTCAGCAGATCTGTGCTGTTAATTAGCCAAATGTCGGAATATTACCTTCTTCAGACATTACCATACAAATAGAAAAAAATACATAATGAGGAACTTCACTGTTTGTACCTTTCACTTACTGTCGTAATGATGATTAATAATCATGTGCGAAAATTACTTCAGTTAGGGATGAGAATTTTCTGTAGTATATAAATGAAATAAGTGTCCATGGGATATTCTAAGTAAGATTTTTTACGTTAAGTTTTGTTTCTCTTGTTTATAAGACAGATTGCACCAAATATCAGAGTTGAGTGATTAGAACCTATAGCCAGTTCCTTTCATCTGATAATTTTATAATTTATGCTGTTTAGAGAACATTGTTAAATAAACTTAGGACACCAGAAACCAAGTAGAAAACTTTATTATTATTTGCAGGATGTGTCGAGTGTACAGTGTCAGCAGTAAGAAATTGGTGAGTCGTGTTAGCAAAGCCCAGTTGCCTGTTCCTGATAATTCTGACCTACATGGCAAGGTGGTGCGCCTCTTCCATGATGACACGCTTAAATCCTTCTTCAGGCGACTCTGCTTCTCGCCAGACGGACAGCTTCTAATAGTGCCTTCCGGTATTATTGAAAATCCTAACAGTGATAAGAACAGCAATGCTGCTTTTATTTTCACACGGCGCATGTTTAACAGGTAAGCACTTGTTTTGCCCTGTATGGACAAAGATTCTTTGATTGTTCGTAGTTGAAGACGGTGTATTTTCTTTTCATCAACAGGATGGTTGTACATAAATTAGTTCTTTCCATGTGTATGTTACAGTATAATAGGTGCTATTGAAAAGTAACAAAATCTTAAATGAATCAAAGCATGAGGAAAATTGTCATATATAGCTGATGCTATATTTTCTGAATTTATCTTTAACATTAAATAGGTTTTTATTTTTACATGTTACTCTACTCAGGTTACATTAGAAAATCATGACAAGCCTCAGTCAGTGTAACTGGTAGCCTAGATGAATACAAGACTAGAACATTACTGCTACGCTTACTTGCTGTGTTGTATGATTATGAGCACAATGGATTTCAAATTGTAAACCAACAATTTTAATGTTGATGTTAATGAGAATATGTTCTCCATAAAAGCATTTACATTAACACATATCAAACTGCGTATACCATTAGCTCATCTTGCATGCCTTTTACCTGAATTTGTTTTTCAGGCCTGCTGTTTACCTCCCTTCAAATAACCAACACACAGTTGCAGTGCGATGTTGCCCCCTACTTTTTGAGTTGCGGGACAGGGAGTCTATGTTCGCACTTCCATACAGGATGGTACTTGCAGTGGCGACTCAGAATTCTGTGCTGCTTTATGACACACAACAACCCGAGCCATTTGGCATCGTCTCCAACATCCATTACACTCGTCTCACAGATCTCACTTGGTGAGTAGCTGTCATCTTCTTCCATGTACTTATAGTTATTGGTGACCGCCACGGTGGTCTAGCGGTTAGAATGCTGGCCTTGTAATCCTCGGGTCCCGGGTTCCATTCCTGGCGGTGCCCAAATTTATAACTTGTGTTGGGCAAGGCCGTGGTCTAGGCAACACGGAATTTTCCTCCGAGGGCTTCCCCGGTTTCTCCGTGGCATCCCAACAATTACTCCATTCACACACAGAAGAAGGCAATGGCAAACTACTTCTGGATCATCTGCCAAGAACGTATATGAACAGGTCCCAGTCCGAGAAGCGTAATAAAGAAGAAGGTTCCTGTCGCCAACCTCCTGTAAACGAGACGGCGTAATAAAGAAGAAGATATTTATTGGTGTGTAGTGTTTTTGTCTTAATCCAGTCATATTTGTAGTCTTCCTCTCTTTCTTTCTTTGGACTTTATACAAGTCCGCTGTTATCAAATGTATGTATACCCCATATTAATCTTATTCTTTAAACTGACTGAATAAAATATTTTGTTTTCAGGTCAGGCAGTGGAAGAATGTTGGTCGTCTCATCTACAGATGGTTACTGTTCGATTGTTACTTTTGCTGTTGGGGAGTTGGGTGTTGTGTATGAACCCAAGAAAGATACACCAAATAAGGAAAGAGCCAATGAAGAAGCTGTTGGAATTGGGCCAATGGAAGGAAATGATAACAGCAGTGAAAAGGAGGTAGTCTGCAAAGATACAGCAAGAGTAAAGTTATCTGAGGGAACAGACAAATCTGAGGATTACTTGAACTCACAAGAAATTCACGGCAGTACTATACCAGAGGATTCTTGTGCCTCTGACACAATACTGAATAATCACAAATGTGATAAAGTAACAGGAAAATTTGTCAAGTCTCCTACCTTCAAAGAAACAGTCATTAGTTCCAGTCTTTCTGAAAAGACATCTGAGAACACAATGCTTCCAGATTTACAAAAGACTCCTGAAAGTTTTAGAAGTACTTTTTGTGGAAAAACTAAAAGTGTTTCTAAACAAGAGAAGACTCCTAGAAGAATAAAACCAGTCCTGTTATCAAGCCCCCGAAAAGTGTTTGCCAAACCCTTTCATTCTAATGATGTGTCTGAAAGGAAGCAAGAATCATCATCAGTAAAGACATCTAAAAGAATATGTCCAGTCATACCCATACCCAACAATTCACATCGCTGTTCTAAAGATAAAGAAACATCTGGAGGCTATAAGAGTCCTTTGTTAGCACCAGAAGAAACTTTAACTAATGAAATATCTTCTGATAACCTGCCAATGGAAGATTCAGAGGAAACTACTAAAATGGATGTCAGTGTGGAAACAATGGTAAGTTCTGATACAGAAAAGAAGGTAGCGTCATCAAATGAACCTGTAAAAATAGAAACTGATCCTGTGTTTCCTGAAGATGAAGGTGGTACTGCCTTGATATGTACCAAGCCTGTAGATGCTGCTGCTGCTGTTCCATCAAATTATCCAGAGTGCATGGAAATTGAAAGCAATGGTAGTTTGTTAACAAAAATTGGACACACAACAAAATTTGAACCGATGGAAACAAGTATGAGTGCTGTGTCCCCTGCTTCACCACTGGTATCTAGCGTCGTGCCCGTGCAGGATAAGAGAACCCCCAGAAGAGTACAACTCATCACTCTATCCAGTCCCAAAAGCAAGAAGAAGTTACTGTAAATAATGGACTAATGTTTAACCTTTAACCAGTGACATGGGTAAACTTGGTTTTGTCACTGTCTCATAGATCACATATCACCAGTTAAGGGTTAAATTTAACTGGTTGAGCTATACTGGTTATCATAAAAGAAATCAGGATTCACATAATTATATTTTTATTAATAAAATATAACAAATATATATAAAGTAAGAGGTGCTCTCCCCCCCTTTTTTGATAGCAAGTTCCATGCATTTGGAGCCATTTGAAGCTATCTTAAAATTACTCCACACATCGTAGGGGAGGGCACATTTTGTAAACCACTGTGGCTTTTTGAACTTGGCTTTTTTATGATTTAATTGAACAAGGATGTGTTCGTGATATCCAGACTCACAAATTTTCTTCAACACAGCTGATCCTTTATCCTCTCCCATTTAATGTTTGTAATTATTCAAAGCCCAACTCATGCATGGGATGTAGAAAGATGACAGTTTGTTATTTATTTATATGTATTCTGCCATAAGGGCAACAGTTTCTTATGTAAGGGATTCTGTAATCGGAGAAAACATTTTAACATCACTTTTTTCAGCTCTATTTTTACAGATGACCTCTCTGCAATGCCAATAGCTTATTCTTAGAAGACAGTGTTTCAATTTGTCCTTGCATTCTGGTATTTTTTATACTGTTAAGATACAGCCGAATTATGAAGCTAACCTTCACTTATTCATAGAATTTTTCTTATCACGTTCCAAACTTGCGAGGACCTTAAAATCATTACAGGAGCCACAAAATGTGAAGAATATTCAAGCGCAAACAGGAACATTGGCTGGTGAAGAAGACTAGACTGACCTGCACTGTCACGAAATGTGATGAGGGCAGGTTATTGGTGGTTTCGTCTGTTAATCCAAGATGTTCCTCTGTGCAGAACTTTTCATTAATGATACTGTCAGCAGCAAATAACAAGTAGACTAGTTTGTGTCAAGTGAGCGGAGTGAGTATATCATGTTACTTATGCTACTAGTACACACCAAGTCATGCATATGTGGTGCACTTTACGCTGCTGTGCCAAAGAAATGTCGAAAATTAGCTTTCACTCTGCAAAGTTTCTACATATGTGTTGAAGATAGCCTTATTTGATGATGTGCTGTGCAGTCAAGTAAAGATTGGCTAATGTTGCAAAGGTGCTCATTGCCTCTATTATCAAGTCGGTCAATTTCTACCAGACTACACGACATATTTCAGGAGACTTAATCTCTAAGCTTATAATATTGATAATTTCTGTGTTGTGATTGGAAAGTATGGGGGAAGTGGTGGTTTTCTGACCGAGTTCTTGGCATTGATTAACATAGCCATTATTGTTACCAAGTTAACAATTATACTTCGACATTTAAGCTGTATCGTGGCTCTATGTTGGCAGACGACGCTACACGTTTGCACCACGAGTAACCAACAGGAACATAAACCATAGCCATTGGAATAATGCATAGATAACACTAACATTGGTATATTCTGTGGACAGAAACATACAACATGTCTTTTGTAAGACGTGCGTTAACAATCGTTTGGGTTGTATGCATTGCTGAAATTAATGGTTATTTTCAAGAGGAAACATGCCACTCTTTTGCAGGAGGTTCAGTATATCCACAGGGATCACCAAGAAATGTCGATCATAAATTAACGTGGACAAAAGCAGTTAGTAAGTACTTTAAAATATATCCGGTCAATTCTGTAGTTTAAACACAGTTGTTGAACTTCACTCGTTTCACTTCAAAGAGGGCCGGTCATGCTTGTTTGGAGTTTATTGTGTAAACAGAGTGGACATTTAAAGCCATATAAATAGTGAACATGGAGCTTTATTTAATAATTTTGCGTGATATGTATGGAAAGCACGTAGCTCAGCCTATAATGATAGACGTTAATGTGCCACGATTTACAACCATGTGGCAGGTAATGGATCAGGGTCGTCAACACTTAATTTACGCATATAATTAAGCCAAGCATCAGCCGTTTTATCGAACTAAAGCCTGGAAGGAAAATCACTTGACAGACCTAGGCATAGATTGGGGATTTTTTAAAAGTAATATTGAGGTTGCGGATTTGATTCATCAAGCTTGGGGCAGGGTAGAGTGGTATGCTCATGAGAATAATGTAGTGGGCTCTTCGGGTCCACAAGAAGTGGGTAATTTTTTTGACCAGATGAATGCCTTCTGGTTTATTAGGAAGAAGTTCTCAGCTCTGTGGAGTTTATTATTATATTCTTTATCAGTAATTTAGTCAGTGTCTGTTATTTTATTAACCAAACTTTATTGTGTTTGTTTCATTGTAGCCTGTTTTCTAAATCAAAGAATGACCATTTCATGTTTCAGTTTCAAAACCAGCACCTGACTGGGAGGGCAGTGCAGTAATTCATGGAGAATTTAAACACTTAAAACTCTCAGACTACAAAGGAAAATATCTGGTATTACTTTTCTATCCTTTGGATTTGTAAGTATGACTTGTTTATGTAATTATTGTTCACCTAATTGATTGTTATAAGTGCATTAACACAGTTCATTTTAGCCTTTTATTAAATGAGTGGAGGAAAATTAGTTTAGAAAAATAATATGATTGCCAAGCAAAATATTGTGTTGTTTTAATAATGAATTATTTAACTCAATATGGTGATATGTTGAAACTTCCAAATAGTACTTTAAGAAGCATTATGACATGCAGTGTTTCATGTTTCAGAACCCATAAATATATGAGTACTTTTAATGCTAGTTTGCTTTTGTCACAGCACATTTGTGTGCCCTACTGAAATTCTTGCTTTCAACGATCGGATTGAAGAATTCCGGAAAATCAACGCAGAAGTAGTAGCGTGCTCTGTTGACTCTCACTTTACTCATCATGCATGGACAAACACACCACGGAAGGATGGTGGCCTTGGAAAGCTAACAATCCCACTCTTGTCAGATTTGACTCGCAAAATATCTCAAGATTATGGTGTTTTCTTAGAAGATTTGGGTCATGCTCTGAGGTATTTGTTAAAAAGTTGTTTTATTACATTTTTATTACCATACAAATTGAACACTATATTATTAACACTTCCATTTGTGTCTTTTTTCCTTTCCAACTTGGTGAGAGTGAAAGTTCATAAGTGTGTATAAGTGCAACAGAAGGACAGAATTCAGTAGCCTGATGATTAGGTGAGGATGATGATAGCTGATGGACAGGGTCTGCAGCTTAATATGGAATCTGAATTATGGTGTAGACATGGTGTTTCTCACAATCACATGCTCTCTTACATTGTCATGAGTGAAGGTTGGCAAATTAAAAAATGTGTGCTGAATTCAGTGGGTCCTAAATCTAAGAACGCTGACATGGTAGACCTTACTTCTATGCCACAGTGAAGGAGACCTGGTCAGTTGTTATCCTCCAATTAGGCTCTGGTTTTGCAGTTCGACAGTGGACCTTCCTCTGCGTTTCTAGCCGAAATATTAGACGTAGACATTGCTGTTTTTTTGGAAATGGTCTTTTGGGGGAGGTATGTAAGAAAAACAATTCAGGATAAAACATGAAATTAGATAATCTTAAAACTTTGCATACCATGTAGTACAGTGTGTCCACAAAGTTCCTTCAGGGTTTTGAAAAATTGTGGGGCGCAAACAAATTGAGCTAGCCACATGCGGTTTGCGGCAGATTACAGTAAAACTCTGGAAGTTTTTTACTGACGTCAGTAGGCCTCGATGTGGTCTCCCTTGGTAGCACGGAGAACGTCCAGACGATATTCGAGCTCTTTCCATGTTCTGTGGAACATGTCCGCTGGAATAGCCGAGATCGCATTCCTGATACGGGTCTTCAGGTCAAGTCCTTTAACTGGTGTTCGGAACACATTGCTCTTGACATAACCGCACAGGAAAAAATCCAGTGGTGTCATGTCTGGCGAACGTGGAGGCCAAGGCATTGGACCGTCTCTGCCGATCCATCTTCCTGGAAATGTCCTGTCTAGGTACGCGCGTACCTGCAGACCCCAATGAGGTTGCGCACCATCTTCCAGAGTTTCACTGTAATCTGCCGCAAACCGCATGTGGCTAACTCAATTTGTTTGCACGCCACAATTTTTCAAATCCCCGAAGGGACTTTGTGGACACTGTATATTGGAATAGTGCCATTTTTAGTGCAAACAGTTTGTTTGTAAGGTTATTTTTGTATGAAATTAGGTAGTTAGAGAAGAGCTTGAAGTACAACAGGCAGTAAAAGATGGAATATGTGATAAATGCCTGATATCTTACAATCATGTTTGTCTAATGCAAGAACACAGGCTTTCACACCAGGCATTGGAATGGAGCTGGTAAGGTGGTAGAGAAGGGGTAGATTATGACAAATTTGGAGTGAAGCTGTGACAGTTTTAATGAGGGAGCAACGCCTGTCTGAAGAAGACAGAAAATTGAGAGTTGGCAACTTTGTGCAAGGAACCTGTGACAGATAAAAACCACCTTTATCTTTATTAGGTCAGAGATTGTGTAAGTGTATATTAAACATTCATCTTATCTTCTGAATTGAGATATGTCAGATAATTAAGTTGTCTCTTTTCCTTTTGTTTCATGAATCATCAATCATGGTGGATTTCATCAGTCTCTACTTGCTGTTCATTTGCCAGCCCATGGCTATGCATGTTATTGCATTCCACAATCTCTAAATAAAAGGGCATGAATTCGTTTTGTAATGTCTGGTTAATATATTTTTATTATATTGCAATTGAAAATCAAAATTTATTACATAAATGTAATTCTGGTGCTGATTGGTCAACCACATGAAGGCCTGAATATGGTTATGAACTTTACACAAAGTGAATAAAATATATGCACATTATCTGTCCATCCATACATTTTCATCTTTGAAACTATTGAATGGAATTTGGTTAAATTTTGTATTTGAGAATATACTAAAAATTTCCAGGAAGTTTTAATTTTGATCTGTATTAATTCAATATAATCCAAGCTGAAATTGAACATATATTTCCCAAAATTTGCTCTTCATTCAAAAAAGTCAGTTTGAGATTTGTAACTGTAATTTTATATGATATATAACTTCTGCAGTTGAAACAGTATCATTAAATAAATGAAGAATCTTTCTCTGAATTTGGGTGATTGGAAGTTGAAACAGTATCATTAAATAAATAAATGAATCTTTCTCTGAATTTGGGTGATTGGGATGAATGCCATTTTCATATCATGAACAAACTTTGTCAACCTCCTCATCCTATGTATGCATTTGTTACATTTTGTTGATCTCTCAATATAATGGTTAAAGTGGAATTTGTCAAACTGTGTTGGCAGGGGCCTTTTCATAATTGATGGGCGAGGGATATTACGTCAGATTACAATGAATGATCTGCCTGTTGGTCGCAGTGTAGACGAAACACTGCGGTTAGTCCAGGCATTCCAGTATACAGATGAGCATGGAGAAGTGTGCCCAGCAGGCTGGAAACCGGGGCAAGAAACAGTAAGCACCAACATAATTAACCAAAAATCTTACACCTATCTTTATATCTGTTAACTACAAGCATATTAAATTTTTTTTCCAAATATACTAGGTATGACACTTTTCAGTAGCTCAGACCATGTAGCATCAACATAAGCGTCTGTTAATGTGTGCAGAGTTTCACGTACACTTTTGCCTAACTTTGCATAAAACTTGATGTTAATGCATTGCTTCAACAACCTGTCACTCATTTTTCTGCCACGACAAAACTTAATTGTCAAACTCGTATGATGGATTCCATGCAACACCAACACAAGTGATGCATTTTTCCACATGTCGGAGGTAAGTAAATGGTTAGCACGGGTTACGTTTAGATTAGGAACAAGTAATTCGAAACACACACAGAATTCATTCACATTTTATATTGATCCTTTCTCTTTTTTCTAGATTATACCAGATCCTGTTGGAAAGAAGAAATTCTTCCAGAACCAGAAGGATTAGACTTGAATAAATCAGTTTGATAGCTGAAATGTGGTGGGGGGAAATTGGAACAATGGATTGAGAATGCATTTACCATAAACAGTCCAGTATTTGATTTGTACCTGGAGCTTGCTTTGCATATCATGGATTTTTAAATTGTTTTTAATTACAGTCAAACTTGGTTATAACATCATCCAAGAAGTGTCATACTAACCGATGAAGGGATTAAATCCGATTTCAAGAAGAAATATGTAGTGTCATTTTGTAGAGCACTAAAATTCACTTTACATTTAAAGTTAATCTTATTTTCCATATGGTTTGAATTGTGAAATTATGTAAATAAAATTCCTGGTGCACCCCAGCTTTCTTCTTTCCACTCTCAATTTGTTTGATCGCATTAACTTTATCCTCCACACTTAATGCTCCTTTTTATTTTCTTCATCTTTCAACTTCAGTAAGTCTATTTGTTTTCAAAACCTGTTTGTTACTGAAGCTATTGTACTTTTTCCATACATTGTCTTAGGGTACTTATAAGATTGAGCACTCAAGGTCACTCGGTATTATTTAAAAAGGGTCATTGACATGGTAGCAGAAAGTCCCATTAAATTTCTTTCTGTCCAGAGGTGTGGTTTGTATCCATGCAAAGAAGTGCGGTGAGAACGGTGTCAAATTGTTTATCCCACGTGTGTCTTTGTAACAACAGCAGAAAAGCATGTTTTTATGGAGATTTAATTAGTACCACTCAATATTAGATGTTTCAGCCAAGATGTTGCTACAACCAGGGTCACTATTACTAAGTTCCACTGTAATTGTTGTTATATAAATACTACTGAATTTCATATTGGATTTCTTTTGAATGCAAAAATACAGGCCTTATATTTAAATTAAAACCATGAAATGTCACAAATATCTTCCTGACAGTCATTTAAATATCGCCATAGTTTTAGGTTAATGAATATTTAAATACTGACTTGAAGCGTTAGAACCAATCTACATTTTCACAAGCTATTTTTCAGTGATATGTTGAAATAATATCCTCCCATAAATACTTTGTTCTCCTTCTACAAGGTTTTTCAGTAAAAGTGTATTGTTTTGCCCATGTGCTGCCATGTCTAATATTATTCTGTAAGGCTAAAGTCAAGTGGCTATAATATTACTGCCATGTGGAGGTATAGAGAGTCTTACCTGCAAGTATACAAAAGACATGAACAGACAATAGCAACCCATAAAATGGAGAAATATGTGACATGAAATATTTATCTTATTCTTCATTTAATCAGCTTAAGAAGCATACAATAAATTATTGTACTTTTTGTTACATAGTTTTATCCATTTCCATTATAATTTCTGGTATACCTAAATATTCTTGAAGGCAGAGTATCGAACTGCAGTTTCATGTAACATAAAAGCAAAGCCAATTTTTGTCGTACATTTGGAACTATATTTCAAAATTACATAACATGCCACATGTTTAATTCCCATTTAATATTTGTATTAAGATTCTGTAGAACCAAATAGCTTTAACCTCTGTCTGTGCAAGATCAATTGGAAATTACTTGTGAGAGGGAGGGATGCCCATGTGCTGTTCTGTGTATTTTCCTAGTTGAAAAATACAAGTCAGTCACCCACGTGCAATGCAGACACACTACCAGTCTTATTAATATAGACTCATTTACCTTTATTATATTACTATTAACTTGCCATCACTTAAACTACACATTGGTTTAATTGAATTAAGGTAACTGCCCTGCTGAAGGAGACAGCAAGCGCCTGTGAGACGTCTGTAAACTTTACCAAATTACAGGACGTAACATCTTCAAATTCGCTGCTGCTGTGAGAGCCAGAAATTTCACCAAATATTTTCTTAACTTTGGTCTTTGTATTCTAAATATAACGATGTAAACAACAGCTTTACAATATAAAACTTAGCACTATAAACATATTAAAATTCTTCATAGAAACCATAAAGTACATAAAATCTCTTCAAAATAGGAGCTATTTTTCTCACTTGTCTTTCACCATGAAACAATAGTCGCTTTTCTCACATGTGAAGCAGACGACATGCAGACCTGCTGTCAAAATAAAAAGAAAAACCTTATGCTACGTTTATGAGACATTAACACAAACTTCGCTTTCTCTAAATCGCGACTACCAGTAACCATTTATGTGGGAGCTTCTTTATTGAAAAACAATTTATAACGACGTCATCTATAAATCTGGATGTTTCGTGAAGGTTGGTAGTAAATTGTTAAACGCTAAAACCACATATAATACCAACTTAGCGAATGCTAGTAACTAGGAACACTGGACAGGAGAACGTGTTAAACACACTAGACTTTAATTCCGAAAGGTTGTCTACACGAGGCATGACGAAAGTATTGTCGTCGCAAAGAGACTACTTAAATTTTAATTGTTTTGTTAGAGATCGAGCAATCTGCGAACGAAGTGTATCACAAGTAGAAACAAGAAGCATGCCTAGTGAAGGGAATCAGTTATTTCACTGCTATAATCGTGGATGTGGGCAGAAATTTGATCCAAATGAAAACAGAGAAGGTAATAGAAACGTATTTTCAAATGTTTTATTTCTTTCTTTAAAGCAAAGAGACGGTGGAAACTTCTAGAATACCCATGTTGATGTTGAATCGTTACAGATTCATGTACGTTCCATCCAGGAGCTCCATTCTTTCATGATGCATATAAAGGCTGGTCGTGTTGTGAGAAAAAATGTAGAGATTTCACGGAATTTCTTAATATAGAGGTAGGTTTACTGTTACTTTTGTCTGTTGTGTTGGAGTACAGGTGTTATAACCGAACGTTGAATACTTCGTATTCGGGAGGGCCCATGTTCAAAATCCGGCCTATCCTTACAGGCTATTCGTGATTTACTCAATCTCTAAAGGCAAATATGACCATAAATTAGGCCACGGTCTCTTCCTTCCACATCCTTTCCAATTCGATACTGTTGGCGTCTAATCTGATGCTATGTAATCTAGAAACTGAAAGTGTTGTTAAATAAACTATAAGTAAATAAATACAGCTGTTACAACAGTGTGTTTTATATGTATATTTGTATTACTGCATGCTAAAATCCTTGGCTTCATAATGTGAACCATATAACAAATGTAAATAAATTCTATTCAGTTGATAATATTGAACAGGTAACAGCATGGCATGCTTCCTATTACACTAAATCTGTAATATAGGACCTACCAGCTCATGATGTTCATAATATCATTGATTGATGAGAAAGCTGATAAAGTAATAAATAAAGCAACAATCACTTAGTTCAGATCTTGTTATTCAGAATGAAAATTAGGAGTCTTTTTATAGCCATCTAATTAGGCAAAATTGTTTCCATAATACATTTGTTCAAATATTTGAACAAAGTTTTTCATATAAAGTACAGAAAACAGACAAGTAAGAAAAGAATAGGTAAGTGATGGAATTAGAATATGCAAACATGAAAGGGAAACATACATTTTCAGTAGGGATAGCAACAACCTCAAATTAAAAACTCTTACAAAGATACTTTAAGATCCTTGCCTCCAAGCCAAGTGACAACATTACAGTAAAAATGTAATAATCCAGACAATGTACAAATTGTATCTGTCATCTGCTGAATATATATGCCTTTAGTTGATGGAAATAGTGTTTAATTATTACAGTATCTATTATAAAAATTTGTGATTCCTCATTGTCGTCAATAAATTACGTCATCAACAATGCCGAGTATAAACAAACTCGGCATTGTTGTGGAACACGACAATGCCGAGTTTAGTGTCTTACTCAAGATTTTAAAATGCAACCAACCCCCCCGAAAGGGGGTTGGTTGCTTTTTAAACACTTGATCAAGCTCCCCCGAAAAAGGGGGTTGGTCAAGTATTTTAACCCTCCATTCAGGGGGTTTAATTTAGTTTCTTACACAAGATTTTAGAACGCAACCAACCCCCCCGAAAGGGGGTTCGTTGCTTTTTAAAAACTTGACCAGCCCCTCCGAGGAGCTCCGAAAGGAGCGTTCTGCCCTAGTATAAAAAAAAGCATTTCCAAAGATATTTTCAGGACTAAACATTGTCCCAGTAACTGATAAGGAAATGAATAAGATTATTCAGTCTTGTAATACATTTGCTCCCAGATGTTCTACTGCTGACTTACCTCCCAACCTAGCAATTTTTACTGTTTATTAGAATTGCTGTGTTTGAAGGTTAGAGAGTGAGGAAATTCTGGAAATACAGCGGCGTGCTAATATTCTTACAAACACTGTCCAGCTTACTGCTTGTCTCGGTACATGCTGACTACTGCTTATGTTCAGTCATTGCTGAAACTGCTTTCAAACCATTTAGATTATAAAAATAATGTATTATAGTTTTATAAGATAGTGTAATTGCGTCATATTGTGAATATTCTAACAATTATTTATTTTAATCCGTCTTATCACAATATTTAAAATTTCTTATAATTAAGATAATAAAATATCATTGATGTTCCATATCGATTGATCGATTTACATTTTGGAACATCCTTTACACAACATGTTTCAGTTTTTATAAAACCATCTTCAGGTGTAAAAGATTTACGAACTTAAAACTCAAATATGATTCCATTTGGTGATGTTTCATGCAGTTTGTTTGTTTGTTTGTTTGTTTGTGGTTGTTTGTTTGTTTGTTTTTCTTTCTCTCTTTTTTTTTTCTTTTCTTTTTTTTCTCCCCCCCATGAAACATCACCAAATGGAATCATATTTGAGTTTTAAGTTCGTAAATCTTTTACACCTGAAGATGGTTTTATAAAAACTGAAACATGTTGTGTAAAGGATGTTCCAAAAATGTAAATCGATCAATCGATATGGAACATCAATGATATTTTATTATCTTAATTATAAGAAATTTTAAATATTGTGATAAGACGGATTAAAATAAATAATTGTTATTATAGTTTTATTAGTGTCAGCACTAGGAGAATCCGAAGCTGCAGGATTGTCGGGGATAAGAAAGCATTATATCCACTAAATAGAACAGAATATCATTAGTAATGCCCTACAGGGATATGAAAAAGAGGTTAAAGTGTCAAAGCCATTACTTACATTTAAAGGGATTTTTCCATTTATTAGCATGACTGGGAAAAAGATTTAGGGAATTAAAAGGGAGTGGGAAATCAGCCAGGAGGTTTGTTAGATTCATAATTGGAAAGATGAATAAAATCAAAGAAGAAATTTAGGAGTGGCTGAACCAATCATGAGGCTCCAAGCAAGATTAATTAGTGAAGCCCTTAAAAGAATGTAAGGCATTTTTAGATGATTTCAATTATTATAATTTTAACAACTTGAATACTACCACTCTATAACCGACTTAAGCTGGTTCATGCAGGTCTTCTTTTGTTTTGTCTGTAATTTGTAATGCAGGTAATTATTACATTGACAGCTTGTTTGTCTACCAAGGCCAGAAGGTTGGATTAGGCCATAATTAAAAAAAATTGTTTATGCTTTTATAGTAACTTAAGCATCACTTCTTTGGAAAGCTGTATACCCACAAGCATTGAATGCGATGAATCTGTAGTTTGGAAAACTATTATGTTACTATTTGAATAGTGGCATAGGTCCCTCGCGTTTTTGCGGTTCTCTTGCACAGGTACATGGGGCAGGCCTCCAGGTGACAGAAGACTTTGTCAGTTATATATTTGTAGTTGCCTCTGTTAAATGTCTGGCAAAGTCTTGAAATAGGGTACATTTTGCTTCCTCCCCACTCTTCCCATTTCTCTGTACGCAGACATTTTCTCATCTCACCCGATGACTGAATAACTTCTGAAGTTAATATACGAGTTCCGTCAATCTTATTCATTGCAGCGACAGTCCGCTCGATAGTAATGTGAGTTTTGAAAGACTGATTAGTGAAGAGGCAGAGTTGGGCAGCTGAATTTGCCCTATTTTAGGTTTCATTATGTAAAAGCTCCAGATGATCATTATAGTACATAAGCGATTTTTATGGTTTTCAGGGTTGTACCAAATCTTACCACAGCAATGAGAGACCTCCAGAAGCAGAGCGATCTCCAGTTGACAAATCTAAGTCAAATGAAGTTATTGAATACAAATCACCTCAGGCTCATGTTTTTGAGGCGCTGGAGAGGCCGCCATTTGAATCGTCGCTAGTAAGTATCCCGAAAGGCGAAAGGTGAGAAGTATCCGAGCTGGCTAAATATTGAACAAGTCGCTCTTTAAAAGTCTGTTTTGATAATTATTTGCAAGTCTTTACGTTTATTTTTATGTTACAGCAGGATGCACAGCTGTGGGCCTAGGAAAATATTATATTTTGATACACATTTTCTTTCTGTATTATCTTTTCTGTGCAACTGAGGTTTGATATGGGGCCAGGCTAATACCAGGCATCATGAAATTTTATGTACCTGCTTTGTTTTACCCGTTCTTTTTCATATGGGGTCATAGTGCTAGAAAATTACATGAGTAACTCTTTATACTGTAAGAATGGGCAATTAGATGTGACGCAGGCTTTAAATGATCTATCGATAAAGTTTTGTGGGCACAAATATTTATTTTTAAATGTTATTGTTGGTGTTAAATTACCAATTTAAATTTTTTTTGGATTTTTGAATCGCCATTGTGCTTCCTTTAACCTTACGTTTTGGGAAACGGCTCTTCCCCAGTCCTCAGGTGGATCTACACAGTTGGACCCATTAGATGGAGCTGATCTTGATCTGTGGACGGGAGGTATCGTGTCTAAACTATTGTGGAGCATTACTTTTTGAATCACCGTTGTACATAAGCTTCAACTGTGTTTCAGAAGCCAACTATTGCAGGCTGTAACGTTTGTAACAAACTACCTACTTGCTTAAAACAAATTAGAAATAACTTCTTCTTCTATGGCTCTCCGGTCCGTATTTGGTCCATAGCCTTCTCAATTCTCCTCTTCCATCCGGTCCTCTATTAGGTCCATCTGTCCGAGGCTTTGATCGAGGTTTCGAAACATCTTCAATTTTACAGTGCAAGGTTGTTAGCCTTGCGACCAACCCCCAACCTGGAGGACCAGGGTACCTGTCTCAGTCCTACCTCTCCCCCTCGACCAATCTGGCTATAGAGGCCCTACCAGTAGCTCTTGGGGTCACTGAGGTACTAAAGCCCCACCACCACGACAAGGTGCAGGTACCATTAAGTGGGGACCCCTCTCATTTACACATTTATATACCAGTATGGGGTCCGCAGTGGCCGCACGGTCTGAGGCATGAGCCTTGTGCCACTTGGTTGCGGGGACCGTGGGTTCGAATCCCACTCAAGCCATGGATGTTTGTCCGCGTTTTTCTGTGTACAGGTAGAGGTCTTGCGACGGGCCGATCCCTCATCCAAGGAGTCCTACTGAATGTCTATAGATCAAGCCAACTGAAAAGTTGGGGACCCGTAAAGGGTACCGGAAAATGTACAAACATTGTTAAACGAAAAGAAGAAGAAGACTATTAATTATGGAAATAACAACCTGTAAAATAATTTTAATAACACAAAGATTTGTAGGACTGGAAGTCTGTTCATGAGGAAAGTAAAGTTACGACTCTTAACTGGATCTCCTTGTTTGAATAGTTATTTAACTTACTGGGATAGCTCAGTCAGTATAGTGACTAGCTACGGGCTGGACGACCAGGGTTCGATCCCCGACGGGGGCAGAGGATTTTTCCTCTAGCCTCTGCGTCCAGACCGGCTCTGGGGCCCACCCAGCCTCCTCTACAATGGCTACCGGGGTCCTTTCCCGGGGGTAAAGCCGGCCGGGGCGTGATGCTGACCACTCACCCCCATGTAGTGCCGAGGTCAAGGAAGAGAGGAGCTATACCTCCACTCACCCCAAATGCCTACATGGTGTGTAGTGGGACAAACTTTACTTTACTTGCTAGATATAAATACTTTTATTTTTGTGGCATATCGTCACACTAGCAACATTTCAGGTTTGTTGTACAAGAGAATAGTAGTGGTGAAGATTTGAACTTTTATTCTACGTGTTACACCGCGCATGATCAATGTGTTTGTCTCACTTTGTTGAAAATGATTGTGTTGTAGGTGAATCTAAAAGTGGAGGTGTCGCCAACCTTAGTACAGCAAGTGAAATCGCTCACGAGACCCGCGAGTGACGGTTCTGTAGGAAGCCATAACGTCACTGAAATTGCTATAGGCACATCGTGCAAGAATAGAGGTTGCAGGCAAACATATGAAGGGCCTGGAACTGCAGAAACCGCCTGCTCACATCACCTTGGTTTCCCGGTGTTCCACGAGGGACTCAAATTCTGGCCCTGTTGTCAGCGACGCACCACTGACTTCGACAGCTTTCTGGAGTTAGAGGGGTGTGTGGTAGGAGAACATATGTGGTTTAAAGAAAAGGTAAAATAAATAAATTAAACTTTATGATATGAAAATAGGGTTTAAACCCTTGTACTAAGGAGCCGCCATGGTTAATTCTTTGGTGGTATATCACTGCAGCGCACCGCAGGCCACTCTTCTATACACTCACAGCGTAGCCTGATTAATTCTAGATGTAATCATAATCATTTAAAAATTTTGTCCTCATTGATCGTGTCGTATCAAAAACTTTTTCCGTTCGTGCCTTATCTCTGCACAATTTCTCTTACGTCTGTGTTTACCTCTCCTGTAAATTCTTCTGTTATTACCTCTTTCTCTCGTACTCGCTCAGTCTCTGCCTTGTCCCCCCCGGCGTTCATTTTAAGTGCGTACGGAACAATTTAAAAAAAAACATCTGTTTTGTAATCTTTTTCCTGTCTGCTTCTGACAAGGTCCGAACCGATTCTGATCAAACTCATCATAGTGATCTGACACTACGTTTTGTTGACGATTTTGATTTTGTTTCAGTTTGAATTATTCTAAGGGTCATTTGAGTTTCTTTACGCGCGTTATAGTGGCTCTGTCACGTAGTTCAAATTGGTGAAACAACGAACACGTTTGAAATTTTAATTGGGAAACTTCTTGGAAGAGTAGTGGGGGGGATAATTTAGAAATGGAATGTGGAGAAGGAGAATGTCAGGCCGGGGACCGGATCGACCCAGCCGAGGATACGATCGAGCGTCTGTTTCTCGATGATATCGATGAACCTATGTGCTTGATGAAAACAGGAAATTTGTGTACGTTGAAGTGAATTTCCTTTCAGGGGCAGGACCAAGAGGTGAGCTGTCGTTACGACTGGCATCAGACGTCCAGCGATGTTGTCGTTTCTATATTTGCTAAGAAATACGATCCGGATGGCTCCTTCGTGCAACTGAATCCGGTTCGGCTGATGGTGCACCTCTTCTTTCCCGAGGATCAGAGCGTCTTCAGTTTAGATTTGGAATTACGTGGGGTAAGAATCGCCATAAATCATACTGTTCGCGTGTTTCTGCATGTGGAGGAGTCAGTCGGGTGAAAGGCGGATGAATCTGTCATTGTAGAAAAATTAGAATCGTATGTACGAGACTTTGATAGCGCTTAAGAGATTGGCTCGAGTCAAAACGTTAACTTCAGCTGTTACAAGACGCGATACTAAAAAAATTTTAATTACAGTTACAAAAATAATTATACTTTTTTAAACTATTAATATTTATAAGACTGCGTAAGAGACCGATGAAACGTAACTAAGAGGTGACTAATTTTATTTGCTTGAACTGCGTAAAATGACTCGTAATTAAGGAAATAAAATAATTTACGTGTTCTATTAGATTATATCACTACAGGATGCAGGGTACAGTGTTATAAGACTTTTTTGGGGGATGCCGTCTCACGCGATACAAAAGCGCGTACTTCTTCTGCGATAAACCGTATTATACGGGGAATTCCTCAAAGACTGAGATGAGTTTGTCCTGCCCTGATGAAGGCATGTCGGGGCACGGAGACATTGTCTCGTTAGCTACATTAATACGGCGTCTCCGCCGTTTATATTTTACAGCCGACGTGCAATTGACGTACTAAGATCAGTTCTCTTTATGTTTCTGTTCTCATAAGAGCGTTCGGAAATCTGTTTCGTGTCCTCGTTCGCGGTAATAAATAGAGATGGAGAAATAAACGCTTGAATAGCAGATTTTTCTTTTTGAAAATAAATAATTTAAAACGAGGTTTCTGGTATTCAAGTTCCAGTTTCGTCAACGATTTTCAAATCGGCGAGAAGGAGTTGTTCTCAGACAAGAACAGGTACGGATCTCAAAAACAAAACACTCGGCACACGCCGCCAATCACTCGATTAATTTTTAAAACAGACTGATTGGTCGCAGATTGCGGCCCGCGAGTTCTCCAGACTCGAATCCCTCTGATTTTTATTTGCGGGGAAAATCTAATAGATTGTATTCAGATAATCCCGTCGTACTGGATGAACTTATGCAAAGCGATCACGTAACTACGTACATACAGTGAGTCCGCAAAGTCCCTTCGGGGTTTTGAAAAATTGCGGCGCACAAACAAATTGAGCTAGTCACATGCGGTTTGTGGCAGATTACAGTGAAACCCTGGAAGTTTTTTAATGACGTCAGTAGACCTCGACGTGGGCTCCCTTGGTAGCACGGAGAACGTCCAGACGATATTCGAGCTATTGCCATGTTCTGTGGAACATGTCCGCTGGAATAGCCGAGATCGCATTCGTGATACGCGTCTTCAGGTCATCAAGTCCGTTAACTGGTGTTCGGAACACATTGCCTTGTTGCAGAATGACGTGTGGCCGTAAGTGGTCAATTTGTGGTCCAGGTAGGTGTTGGTGTTGATCGTCTGCTCTTGAAAAAAAGAGACGATCCTTTCAAGAGACATGAAGTTTTTAGCATCTACTTTTTTTTTTTTTAATTTTTCAAAGAATTTATTTACTTTCAGAAGTGCCTGTACATATTTATAATGGCGCTGTGTATTGACCACGATGCTAGACCCCGTTTCTCGGCAGATGACGCACGAGTCGCCTGTGAGCAAACGAGTAGCGAGAGAGTCGGGCTGTTCCGTCATTTGAGGAATTCCCCATATTTACCATGGATTACATAACGTTGTGTTTGTCTTGGTAATGCCGTATTCTGATGTGGCACGGCAGTTGCTTTTATTCCCCGGAATGTTAACCGATCGCCGCGGAGCGCTGACCACTTTGTGGGCATTTATGTCGTCGCCACAGGTGGTAGATGTGGCTCTCAGTGCTGCCAGCATGCTTCCCACGAAACTCGAGGTGAAGCTTCGAAAGGCGGAGCCCGGCTCGTGGCCGAA